GCCGGACGCCAAGCACTCCGATAGCAGGGACAGCGTCTCCTCCTTGAGGACCGGTACGACATGGGCGAGAACCCGCCCAGGGACGCCGTCCGGGCCCGGGGCGCGGTTCTTCAGCCTGAGCCTTAGAATCGCAGCCTCCAGCTCGGCCTCGGAAACGGGCGGGACTTCCTCGCCCGCTGCGGCCGGTCTCCAAGGATCCGGCGCCGCCATCCTTGGCGGCACCCACTCCTCCCTCGCCGGGAAGAGAGAGCCGACCACCTGCTCTGTAAGGAGGGGCTCGAGGGACCTGGTTAGTGGGGGAGCCCATGGTCGGAGCTTTTGGCTCACGACCTTGTATGGGCGTCCCCACGGGTCCTGGTTTAGGCTCTCGAGCCACTCCTTCCAGGCCTCCTCCTTGATGTGTTGAATACATTACCTTATTTTTAATAGTAACAAAGAATTTATGTTTTAAAAATGTTACATTTACAATTAATTACTTAATTTAAAAATATATTTGTTTATTAAATTATTTTTTTTTTAATTTAAAACGTAATTTGGAAAGCAGTTTACGTCTGGTATTGCAAAAATATTCACATTCTATGCCACACAATATTTTTTTCTAGAATATAGACAAACTGTTTTAATTCACTCAGCTTATTTCAAAGCTTCGCATACCACAGATTTACGTCAAAGCGTGTGATAGTCTGAAGAATTATGATCGGCATTTTGTGGGTAGTTTGGGGGTACGGTCATGTCGGATTTATGGAATATTTGACTAACGGCTTTTTGTTGAACGACGTTTTACGTAATATTGATTGTTAATAAAAGCATTATTTACGCACATACCACTTTTAGTAATAGGTAGTTACTAGAAATTATCTCTTTGGTCAATTTTAATATAGCAAATAGAAGCAATTATCGATGTTCCTATTTTCTTCCTGCAATGCGGTAACGTATTCAAGCAGATTAAGCCGACCTTTTTTGAGTCAAATATTCTATACTCTACAATTTTTGAGTGTCTGAATTATTGCTTATATATTTTTCTATAGAAGATATTTTGACAGTTGTCAATGTCGAATATTTTACGAAAGATTTCGATCTACGTAACCAAGTCAAGTTTAATTCGTTTGATAAGTTTCCTTTTTAAAAAACAATAATTTTAAATATCCAATAAATATTTATTTCAGTTATCAATCTATTCGTTACCCTTATTATTATAAACATGGGCACCTTACAGTATGACGAACCAAAATCCAACCAATTTGCGAGCTGGGATACAGGCATCACACCTACAACATCGATTGATTTAGAAAAACCTCCAATCGAACAAAATTCCAACCTACTCACAATTATACAAAAGGTAATTGACCCTGACAATTATAATAACACGATTGGAAATGTTGATGTGACGTTTTAAAGCCAAATGAACCAAGAGAGTACCAAAGCAATCAAGAGAGGTGAAACAAAAACTCCGTCATCTATTTCGGCTAATACAAGGGCACATACGGGAACCATCAAGCTTAGTCCAAAGAGGATTATGCTAAGCGCTTGACCAATACAAATCCCGATGAACCATATAGCGATTAATACGCATGCATTTATGTATTTTGGGCTCTACATCTTATGTTATTTTCCCAGGATGAGGTACTAACCAATCGCCCCATTATACCAGCCACGATATATGAAAAACTGGCGTTTTATCGCGCATACGTTTCTTCACCAAGTAAAACCCAAATAATATGTACGCAGCAGGCTCAGTTTAACAAGTATATACATTTTCTATTTTCTTTTTTAAATCCTTCTCTAAGATGATCATCTCTGAGGTGATCTTGTCTACTATAATTGTAAATCTTGATGGGAAATACCAACTTGTTTCATGTGAAAAAATATTGGTTGAAACTAATTAATCATTGCTTTCAGATACTTATGGTTCCACGTGTTGAACGTCTTCTGCAAAAGCTTGCCCAACACTTATATCTATATGTTCTTAAGTTCCTACGTGCCTGACCATCATTTGTTTCTATCGAAGATGGTACCGCTTGCTTATGGTACAAGTTTCAAAAGATTTTGCAGCAATATTAGCACGGATGTTCTACTTGGTGAAATACCATGATCATTCAGAAGACAGAAGTGGAAGCATTTCCACATTTCATCGGTGAAGTGTCCTCTTCCCATTCACATCATTCCATTATTCGGACCGAATATAAAGGAAAAGTAGAATTTACCAAAGAGAAAAGGGAAATAAATCTTGTCTCTACATTCTCTCCCCTGACCATTAATGAAGGCAACTCCTCTGCAACTTTTTAAAGTATAGCAGAACTTTACGGGCAGGGTCACTTCACTATTTTGGCTACAAGTCGTAGCCTCTTTTTTATAAGAGATGGATGCAAACGAGCGGGAACACTGAGGTGATCAACGATGCCCTTGGAAATCCACAACACCGGACAGTTGCTGACCTTACGAAAGGGATAACCTCGCTTCTAGAAGGACCCTAAGACGTGCTGGTTTCCCGTTCCAAAACGCTGTTACTCTTTTTCCACCAAATAATATAAAAAATGTTTAACAACTTTGAATAAGCCTTAGAAAGTAAATTTGTTTTTGTTGTTACGTTGATGTTGTTATGTTTGTTTTTTTATTACTTATAGGATCAAACTGGGCATTTCTAGCGGCCAGTATAATTTATTTAGTCTTATACACCGATACAGTGGTTCTTCTTTTGGATTATATAGTATGTGGTATATTTTTCAAAAATCCTTGGAACAGGTATGTTTTTTATGTTTTCCTAAACAATTAATAGAAAATCTGTATACGATACCGAAAAAAATATACATTTCTCAAGCGAATGACCAATTTATAAAATTTTTGTCTATCTTTCTGTGTGTCTGGCCGTCTTATTGCCAAGTCCGTGTTTGTTGGAGGTAATCTGCATAACAGATTGACCTATTTCGATGGGACTTTTACTAAAAGATAGCTGGGGTAGGCAGGAATAACATACGCCAATAATTATTCTTTTTAAATGGTACAAATTTAATTTAAGGATTACGGTAGTTGCAGTGAACGGTGTCGTTTCTTATTGTTTTAAAAACTAACACGTCTTATAAATTCCAGTTTACTATGTAATTTTACTACACAGATGTTCTTCAGAATATGTAAGAATCGGTGAATATGTCGCTCAATGCTTGGACGTGGAGAACTTTTATCAAATAACAAAAAACGAAACGTTGGTCTTTCAAAATGGCATCTATCTATCAAACAGAAATGTATCATTTCAGTTGGCTCCTATTATATATTATAGGTGAATTATATAATTCATTAATTAATTATTAAATCAAGCAATTAATTAATTAATTAATTCATCAATTCTTTAATTAATAAATCAATTATTTAATTAATTAATATAAAATTTTAATATCTTTCCAGACACCGATATGTGGACATATCAAATACGAGCCTTTATTTCTTATTTCTTTGGATCACTGCCGTATTTAACTACAAGCAATTGTACAATAGACGTATTTGGAAAGTAAGTCTTTTTCAGTAATTTCACTGCGAAGTTCCAACGTATTTCCGTAAAATGCCATGAAATCTTGTCACAGTAACATACAAATGTGTAAAATGATATCTTTTATGGTAACAGTTAACTTTACGATATCGATCCTAGTGGGTAGTGAATTTAATTCTCTGGCTGGATAAATATATAATTAAGAAAATTTGTGATGTCTGTTTAAAATTTTTTAATCAATGATTTTATTGTAATATAAATCACATTATGCTCTCCTTCACCTTATTATTTTTATTATATTAAATTTCAAGTTATTTCGTTATTGCTTTCAGATGATTCACAACGTACAAATAATTCTAACTGTATTATACATAATAACTTTTGGTCATTTTATGATTACATATTTTGAAACCGATCTCAAGGTCATACCAATACATTTTGATGAATACGTCCAAATTATTTGGGTATGTCATTGTTTTAAGCATTTAGTTACGAATGTAAATTATTATTTTTTAGTGAAACAAAATATTAGCAGATTTTCTTTGTAAATTTACCATTCCAACTAAGCTCTTTTACCATTCCAACTAAGCTCTATGCTTGTGCTAGAATATGATTCACGACAATAGTCGAATGTCGGGATTCGAAACCCCGACCTCGTGATCGGAATTCCGCACCCTTAACCATTAGGCTATTAACGTTTAGTCTATACATATATACATATAAATAAAATTGAAATGTCTGTTTGTAATTATTCAAACTTTCGTGAGACATTATAATAATATTATATAAAAACGGCTTAAATACTTACTTATGTTTGTACTATACGGTACATACACCGAAATATTTTTTTTACAATTTTTGTCTGTCTGTTTGTTCTAATCTCTGAAATGGCTGGACCGATCTTGACGGGACTTTTACGTAATAAGAAGTAACCTAGACTTCGTTTATTTTAGAAAAATAAAGTAATGTCGTAATGTCTAATACCGCGCGAAGCTCAAATACAGTAAATCAGCAGACGCAGCGGTTAAATAAATACATAATATTCCAGGCTGCTGATACGGATGTTTTGTCTGAATCAATGACCGCACCGCCGATTGTGCACGTGTTGACGTCACGAAGTACTACAAAAGTATGCTTTTCAAATAACGACCCAAGGTCATCGACGCTCTGCGCAGTGCTTTCCCCCCGCATCCCGCTACACTCCCCGACACATATAATTGTGTTCTGTGCAGCAACTCGCGGTTTAGAGCCGACAAGATATCTAAAAAATATTAAATTCAAAAGATTATCTTCCTAATCTTATAAAAGCGAAAGTTGTCTCTTTTGCAATTATTCCTTTTTACCACTTATGCCAAAGCGAGTGCTCACTTATTATTAGCTCATACTTTGTTCAGTTTTTTTTAATCACGCGTACAAGTCGCAGGCAACAGCACATCTTAGTAATAATTGCGTTTTTATGATTATCTTTATATATATAATTCTTCTGTGAATGTGTATGTCACTGAACTTCTCTCAAACGAATGGACCGATTTTGATGAAATTTTTTGTGTGTGTTCAAGGGGATCTGGGAATGGTTTAGATTCAAAATTTTGTCCGCTGGACAATGTTTTTTTAATTAATTTTTAATTTATTAGTAGTTGTTGATTTTGGAATGTTTTACATTGGATCCGACAGACGGCGCTACCATCGCAGTGTCAAATTTTAAATAATATTCGAATTAAAGACGTGTAGACAGGACAACGTCTGTCGGGTCCGCTAGTTATTTTATATATTCTAAGCTATAATTATATATTTAATTCCAGATTAATCCGGATCGCGATAGCATTGCAATGATCATTTCTAATTCCATTTACTACTTGTTCAGAGGTTTACTAGGTTATAGACTAAAAATACATTGTGAAAATATGGTGAAATCTCCAATATTTTTAACAGAATTTAGTAAGTTTTTTTATTTGGCTATCACGAAACAACAATTAAAATCACCATGCCTGTGTACGAATTAAAATCGCCGAGTCTCGAAGATTTATGTCACTTTGTGTACGAAGACCCTAAGATACCTTTTAGAAACCTCTGTTTCCTATAAGAGTCAAGAATTGTTTCTTTTCTTATACGTATTTAATTTCAGATCCGAATTCGTATCTATTTTTATGGCCAATATATTTTTCCGCATTTTACTTGGGAAATTTTTACACACTATTGTATTTTACATTGAGTTTCTTAATGGAATATTTAACAATAGTATGTAACTTTTAGTTTGTAATTGTTTAACGATTTTTTTTATATCAGTAGTTAAATTAACTTTAATATTTTGCCTGCAAATTTCAGATAATAACAATGCAATGTCTGATTGAGATTATAGTATATGAATGGGGATGGGCTAAGAGAGTAATGGTGTCTATTGCTTTGTGCGTATTGGGAATTCTGTACAATTATTTCACTTTTTTTGCTGTAAGTACATGATTTTTTGATGAGCGTCGTGATGAGCGTCGGTGGCTCAGGGGTCAAGCACTTGACTTGCAATCTGCAAGACCTAGGTTCGAATCACGCCATGTACCAATGTGTTTATCGATTTTCCGATTTACATATGTACATTTGTCCAACGTTCTTACGGTGAAGGAAAACATCGTGATGCAACCTGCACATATCTGAGAAGAAATTCAAAGATGTGTGAAGTCAACCAACACGCACTTGGCCAGCGTGGTTGATTATGGCCTAATCACCCTTAACTTAGGGTAGGCTCCGAGCCCCTCGGTGGGGACCTACAGTAAGCTGATCATGATGATATGACGATGACATGATTTTTACGCGGACGAAGGATTGTCTACTATGAAGGGTAACGGGAAAAGTCTAATACAACCTCAAACCTGTATGGAGGAAGTTTGCTGGACCTAAGTATTCGTGGCAAGCGAATTTAATTTACTGTTACATCGTGGCCTTCTGCAACTTAACTTCTTGACTAATTTTAAAAACTAACTTCAGTCCTTGCAGTGTCATATACTCAGTGAGGCTATTTAGATTTTTTTTTAATAACATGTATGCGTATATTTTTTTCTAGCTTCGCATTTTGCTGTACATGTACAGTATTAGCTTGGTGACCCTATTTGAAGTATTATTTCTCTACTGCTTATATCCCCTTGGTCGTTTGGTGGACGATATTACTTTCTTCCATGGTGTGTCGCCTACAAAATTTAGAATTATAAATTTCCGTATAGTACCTGTTTATTACATGGTGAGTGAATCTTAGTAATATTATATGTTAATGTTTGGATAGAAGGATGGATGGATGATTAAGGTAACTCCAGAACGGCCGCATGGATCTCGCTGAAATTTGACACAGATGTAAAACATTGTTTGGAAAAACACAGAGGCTAATTACGTTTTTAATTCCGCTCTAATGGAGGAGCGTATGAATAACTTTATGACTCAATGTAGGTTCTCTAAGCGTTCTTAAACAGTTGGATAGATTTTTATAAAGTTGTGATAGGTTATTAAGATATACCAGAGATGTGTGCCATAAATGTAGATAACATGGTATTTTAACACAAAATACTAATACCAAGACAAAATTAATTCTTTTTTTTTTCAGATAAAAATGTATGAAATGTTTAAGGGATTTTTTCACGTTTTTAGATCTTCTGAATTTGGAAAATACTTGACGTTTTTTGAACTAATATTATACGCAATGTCAGCTCCTTTCATATTAGGAGCGATATACATAACATTTTTATATGTGTGTGTAAAGCAGAAGGTATGTTGTATTTTAATCTTAAAGTAATGCCAAAACACTAATACAGAAACATACTGTTATCCTTCTCATTCTTATTATAACAGTGATAGAGCCCGCTTTAACATCTTCGCACGAATTGGCCCGGCTCGCCCGGTGAAATACCACGACCACACAGAAGACAGACGTTAAGTGGAAGCAATTCCGCGTTTCGTCTGATGAGTGTGCGTCCCGGAGACCTAATTTAGTCCTCTTTCCCTTCCCACCCTTTTTCTTATAAGGAAATGATGCGAAGTGGAAGTGGACTTTCCGGATGAGATGATGCATGAAAAGGGAAGATATTTTCTTTCTGTGCATCATCTCCTCCGTCGATTAAAGGTAGGCAACGCATATGCAATTGCGTATGTCTATGGGCAACGGTCACTTCGCTATTTCAGCGATTTCAGGTGGCCGCTCGCTCGTTTGCCACCTTTTGATATAAAAAAAAATTGAGACGACAATAAGTTTCACACAGTTGTAACAGTGGAAACAAAATAATAATAATATTTATTTCTTCTTTATTAAGCTTTGTTTAATTTTTCAGAGTTTTAAATCCTTGATTAAACCTCTACCAGAATGGGGTCCAAGTAATCTTTTTATCAGGCAACTAAGAAAGCTATATGATTCTCGATATGTAAGTTATATGTAGCAAAGTTGTAAAAAAAAAGTTCAGTATATGAGGGACATAAAAACCTAATAAATATATAAACCAGAATAATGTCAAATTTCCTCTATAACATATCATTCATCCATTTCACTGTTACATTATTGCAAATATATTGAAAAAAAAATTAAGTTAATTTAAATTCATATCGTATTTTTTTCCTAAAATATTTGTGATGTGTTTTATTGTATCATCATCATCATCATCATCATCTTCAGCCTATATTCGTCCACTGCTGGCCGTGTTTTATCGTATACGTATTTATATGTATATCTTTCAGTACGTTGGATCTCAGGCACCAAGAAAACTAAGTCGTTATTTGATTCAACAGACGAGCTTAGACTCGTATCGATTGGATATTCAATACGATAACTACGTTCGGAAATCAACATTAAATTTGTCCGAGGTAAAGAGTGAAGACGAGAAAAAACGTAAATAAAAATCTAGAAACTGTTTTATGTCATTATATTTTAAATCGTAAAACCTTCTTTATTCGACTTATAGATCATAGATATTCATATTATATAAATAATAAAAACGTTATAACAAAAAAACATAACCATATTTTTTTTTATTTTTCCTATATTCATTTTAGATGTGTCGTATTATATTCCAGCAACAATTTACGGTAATTTCGATATTGATACAAAATATACTTTGTTGTTCTACTAGTGATTATTTGGTTATTTACACAGAACATTGCATAATGTTTCGTAAGTATAAAATTAAACATTTACGGATATAGTAACTGAAATCTTCCTTTATGTATCTTCAGCTCATTGGAAACAATTTTCCCTAACATAACGTGTGTTGGGTGCGTAAAAGATATATAAACAAGATAATTTAAAATTATGAACAAGTGTAGCATAACGTGCTTATGTTTTGTTGAATTGTTAAGGGCCGGCCTTAACTGTTACACCTCACATTAACTTCAAAATTGCGCAAGTTCAGTGGGCCTTAAGAATTTGTTACCCTTTTTTTGCAGTATTTCTACACTGAATTTGACTTTGTATTCATATACAGCTATATTTAAAACGCGGATTAGCCATGTCTACGACAAAAGAAAAGCTATGCACAGCTGGATACGTGTAGGAATTGATTGTTAGTTTCTGAGATCAAGAACTGTATAAAAAACATATAGTCATCCTTATCAATTATATTTGATAAAACAGAGATAACAATATGTTTTAAACGGAGATTTTAGTCTCAGACACCCTTGACTCATTAATACATTTTATAACATGTAATCAAAGTTCACAGACAGTTTCGTTATAACCTATTCACCGCTGCGTGGAAATTTTATGTTGCTCTTTTGTATATTATGAATGTCGCGGTGAAAAATTATAATGTAAAGGTGACTTAATATTTATGCCCTCATTCGTACGAACTACGAGATATGAGTCTTCATATAATATTTACTCATTTCAAGTGTCTTCCATTCGAGTAAAAATATTTTAGGAAAATATAAAGGCTTTTATGTCTTCTACACCCCGCTGCGTATATATTCTTTAGCCTTATATCATTCTTATTGTCCCTATTATGAGTTATTATTTAAAGTATCATTTTATATAATTAAATGTTAAGTTCAGTGCGTAAAGATAGCAAGGCTTACTTAAAATCGCGGCACGGTAGTATTAGCGTAAGCAACTTCCAAAACATTGAAGATCGTGCAGTGGAAGCAATTCCGCGTTTCGTCTGATGAGTGTACGTCCGGAGGCCTAACTTAGTCCTCTTTCCCTTCCCACCCTTTTTATTATAAGGAAAGATTGGGAAGTAGAACTGGACTTTTCGGATGAGAGGATGCATGGAAAGGGAAAATATTTGCTTTCTGTGCATTTTCTCCTCCTTCGATTAAAGGTACGCATATGCAATTGCGTATGTCTTTGGTAAACGTTCACTTCGCTATTTCAGCGATTTCAGGTGGCCGCTAGCTCGATTGCCACCTTATGGAATAAAAAAAAGATGGATTAAATACTAGTCATAAAAGTTCACTATGAATATATTTTAAAAGGTACTAATTTATTCAAAAAGAACTTTTCGGTACGTTTTTGGAAGATTTCCAAAAGGTCTTCATTCCAGTTCGATTACATGCTATTCTTTTTCAAACTGTTGACTTCCAAAAGTAAAGTGGATATTTTCTTTATCGTTTTAAGAATTTTTATTCTATTAAATTAAAGATTGAATAAAAGACATTAATTTTCATCATTTCATAAAAAAATATTGAGATTGTTTTTAAAATCAAACTGCAAATACTCGCAAATGTATTTCGTAATAAAGTAACATGGCAGGGACCGCTTTTTATTGCCAAGTCATGACCCCTCTACACGACCTCGTTGAGAATTCCACTTAATATTGGGGTCAACCCCTCTATGAATATATTTCATAAACATATCGTAACAAATGAAAAGCGATTTGCTCTGGAACGTATATTCGCTTTTGTTTTGTTGACAAAATATTATGTTGCCCATAACGCATCTGCAATTGCGTATGTCTATGGACAGCGGTCGCATCGCTATCTCCGCAAATCAGGCGGTAGATTGCTTGTTTGCCACTTTACAAAGTAAGTAATAATCAAAAAGTAAGTGAAGATTTTTATGTGAAATTCTAGTCTAGTATGCGCTAATTCCGAGCATAGGTACTTTTCAATGGCATTGAGTTGTTGAGAGAATTAAAAAAAACTTGGTAAGAACCATATTTGTTGTTCCAGACTGTGGTCTAAATCTGTGCCAAATTTAAAGGAGATCCGTTTAGCGCTTCTGGAGATACCTTGTGAAAAACATCCATCTAAACATTCGTATTTATAATATTATTAAGATATTTTCTTAACTATGAAACTATATCTCGCCTGATATAATCTATTACTTCAATTACTTGATGCAAATTTTCAGGTCAGTGCGCTTAATGGGAATCACGACCTCAATACATATGTAATGCATCGGAATGAAGATATTATGTGCAAAGCGTTTGTTTGTCTTTCGCAGTTCACGCTGAATTAATGACTTATCAGGAAAATAAGGGATACATAAGCTTAAAGCTTTAAATAAATACATTTTGATGCGAAATAATCATTGTATGATTTTAAAAATGTCGTCGAGTCAAAATTAGTATAAGATTTTTTGGCGTACTTTACTTTTTTTTTTAATTTTTAATAAATTTGTCGATGTCGACACAATGGTGATTGTCGCAAATACTCGTGCCAGGCTGTTTTCTTTCGTTCAGACCTCTTTTGTTTTAACCGCGAAGCATTATTTTTAATTATAAAACATTCCTAATTTAAATTTTCATTGTGATTCAAAACATGCGCACGTCATTTGTTCCTCTTTCTCTTTCTCCTCTTAATGTTGTTTCACGTATCGTGATAACAAATTCCCGCGTCGCTTTCCCGGACGTTGATTGAATCTACACATTCATTCGATCGAGTCGAATCGTTTTCTCGAGCACTATTTCCCTCCTATTAGTCAAAACGAATAATGTTTGTCTTTGCCTCATACAACAAAGCGAGGAATTGCTAAATTAGTCACGGTTTTGTTCTTAAAGTAATGTTTTTCTTTATCATTTTTTTGCTTTGTAAGACTTTCTTTATTATTATAGCTATTTCGGATCGGGTTGAAGTACTTATTCTCCATTCTATTTTTTTCATTTCTACCAAATTTTCTAGATTGTTTACGAGTACTTTTAAACATGGCGAAGCTGATGCAAAGGGGAAATTTTCCCAGGTTAGTTGTCCAATGGCTACGTTACATTAGAATCCAGGACTTCATACTTCACAGTCCGTCCCCTAATTCTAATCTATTGGAATTCAACGTTAAAATTAAGATTAGTAATAAATCAACAATTAAAATAGCAATTACTGAATTGCAAAAAACCCAAAGCAAGTCCAGACGAGTGTGATCGACCTTAGTGTACGTGCGATTCTACTAATTCGAAACTAAGAGTCAAATACATTTTACGACCCTTAGCTACCAGATCGAGAATTGAATAGACAATTTGCAATTTGTAAATGTCATTGAAAATTGAGTTAATTTGAAATAAGCAATGGAATTTTAAACACCAACCAACATTATAACAAATTCAAACCTATTATTAGTCACTGCTTAGTTTTCCTCGGTCATAGTATTTAACAAAATTAATTATATTTTCAGATATGTAATTTTTTTCACCTCATATTTAGCTACCGAGATAACCTACATCTTAATAATATTACATAAGAATAATTTAATCGTTTTGGACTAACATAAAAAATTAAATCACGAACTTTCAACTTTCCCTTGATAACTATCTCCCTACAGAAAAAGTTCCAGTAATTATAAAAAGATGTTCAAAGACCACTGGAGTTAAGTCTAAGCGTGACTGTCGTATTTGTATTAAAATATAATGTCTCTGTTTTGTTCATATAGAATGAGCAGGACGGTAATATGTTTCCATACAAATGAAAACCCAGATCGGTATTGTCGTAGATAGAGATCTTTATCTGTAGATTTAAGAGGACATTAGCTCCACGCTTCGTGCCGCTGTCCATTCTCATCGTTTTAAGCACAAAGTTTAATGATTCGTTTCAATGAGTCTTTAAAAGTAATGTCTTAGGGTCTATTGTAGACAATATATTGCTTGTGAAGACACTGAAATTTTAGATATTGCACATTAAATATTAATCTTTTCATTCTCCGTCTAACGAGATATAACAATGGTAGAGCCCGCTTTAACATCTTCGCACGAATTGTCCCAGCTCGCCCGGTGAAATACCACGACCACACAGAAGACAGGCGTGAAGTGGAAGCTATTCCGCGTTTCGTCTGATGAGTGTGCGTCCCAGAGGCCTAATTTAGTCCACTTTCCCTTCGCACCCTTTTTCTTATAAGGAAAGAATGCGAAGTGGAAGTGGAATTTCCGGATGAGAGGATGCATGGAAAGGTAAGATATTTTCTTTTTGTGCATCATCTCCTCCGTCGATTAAAGGTAGGCAACGCTTATGCAATTGCATATGTCTATGGGCAACGGTCACTTCGCTATTTCAGCGATTTCAGGTGGCCGCTCGCTCGTTTGCCACCTTTTGATATAAAAAAAAGAGATGGTGCAGAGATTAAAAATGTCTGTGAAGTTATATAAATTCAACATAAACGTAACGTAGAGTAGGTTCATTTATAACATTAAATATGAGTTATTTCTTAAGAAAATATTAATTTAAGTCAATATATAATATATTCTGATGAATTCTATGAAAGTAATTAATATATGCCAGAAGGATAAGGCCTTGGAAACTAAATTATCGAAGAGCGGGGCGAGGCGATGTAAATAATAATACTACTCCGCTCCCGTTCGTTTCCTGCGCGTTTCTGTATTTAGCTATACTTTGGATTACACCGCCCGTAGTGCTGCCCGCTAGTCGCAAATGATCTACCCGCAGCCTATTTCCTTTCGACAGGTCGATTTCTCTTTCTATTTATATAAATTTTGACAGCTCATCTTTTGATAGATATAAACAATTTAATTAACCTCATTACTCTG